CAGCTAAAAATATTTTCTTTACTACCGACTTGACCTGAAGAAACTCTTTGTGCAATATTCTAATGCTAGGCGCTCTTGCCTTACTAAGATTTTATTGAAGAGAGAAATTTTACTTGACCGGTTCAAGAGAAGAACTTACAAAGAGACAAGAGACAAGAGCAATAAAAGAGACACACGATAAAGCACTGGGATTGGCATAGGACAAAAGAAAAGAGAAAAAACCAAAAAAGAACAACAAAATAATCCGAAAACCCAAAACTACTTAAAATACTTACCTCAAGACTTTTAAAAGGATTTACAAGAAAATTACAGAAGTTTCTGTAATATTAGGAAATCAGATAAATAGCACCGAACCTCACCAATGAGCGTATTTACCAAAAATGCTAATTGGGCATGCTTTGGAGTTTCTTATAAACAGGTTCTTTGGCGCCCACATCTCACAGATTTTGGTCGGGCTCGTACTGTTTTTACCGAACCTACCCTATGCATCTCACCCAGGTGGCTGGCGTCTTAAGCTTTTTACAGCCCAACTGTTGCACTGGTGCAACAGAGTGCTTGTTTCCAAAGAAGAATTACTAATCCGCAATGTCGCAATGTTTCTCATGCTACATTCTTCTTGGTTTCAAGTTCAAAAGCAAAATTCTGATTTTGTTCCAAAAAAAAAAAATAAGTTGATCGTTTCTTACTGTACTTACTGGATAAATTTCATAAGATCGTGAGAATAATTTGATTAAAAGACTCACATGTTCGATTCAAGAGGAGAACGATCTCCACTGACGTTGTCTACAAAATGGATCTGTTCATTAAGCTGGTCATCACTGGGGCAAGAAATAAATCCTACAGTAGTAACTGCACCTAAACTTGAATTCGGAATTCCAGAACTGCTACAAGACGGTGACCCCGTGTTTTCAACAGACGTTCCACTTAAATCCCCTTTTCCCGCCGTTAAGAAAGACGCAAGCCGCCCGACTCTAGTCTTCTTCTCTTTCAACGTTGTTTGCAGTAACTCCTTGTAAGTACGTTCAACAACAATCAGCTCTTCGAACAACCTAAATATTCATCTTTCTTTCTTAGTTTACTTCTGAATGTTTTTTTTTCTTACATAGCTACAGAAGTAGAAAAATTGTACTTTCTGTTCTCTTCAGCGAGCTTCTTATGCTCAGCAAACGAAGCCATGAGTACTTCACGAGTTGCAAAATTAGTGGATCCTGGACGGCTATCCAAAGTTGAATGCTCACTGTGAGAACCAGCACTATCTTTGGAGGTAGATAAACGATTGTCGGGAACATCTTGCACAGAAAGAACTGCAGAGAGATCTAAAAACAATTTTAAGAATTATTACTGAAAGCAGATTTTAAAGATATAACAACTCAGTCAGTGTCATTTTCTCATCGCTTAGCAGAAAAGAAGAAAATATGTAACCGGGAGATAGTATTGACACAGCTGCCTGCACAGCGCTTCTGATAAGATTGTCTAACGCGAAGATCCAGTGTGGCTTGATATTTTGTTGCTTCAGTGTTGGCTGTACAGCATCAGAAAAGGCATACAGAGCCAAGTTCACTTGAGAAATTGCAGTTGGCTCATAATCCAGCTGGGCTCTTATAGTATCAATAGCTTCCTTAAAACAAATGCTTACCTGCTTAAAGCCAGTTCAAAGCGGAACTTGAAAACCAAAAAAAAAGAAATGAAACCTTAATTGGATGCATATCCCTCTTTAAAAGATAAATGCGCATTCCTGTCAGTAAGTTTGAGAGCATTTCCTAAACAAAAACTCTAGTACAATAAGCATGAACGCTTTCAAGAAAATTAAGTAAAGACTATTCCTATTCACTGCAATGCAGCTTATAAACATTTAATCTCCATGCCTTAAACCACCTAAAGTTCAACAAAAAAACTAAACAATTATTCTACTTCAGTAGAATAGATATTTTTTTAAAATTCTCTTATTCATCAAAGTCTAGTTTTTATGACAGTGAAGTGCAAATGCCACAAAAATTGAAAGTGCGAAGAAATCTACCTCCATGCTTCTTTTAATAAATTAATAGCAATTTAGTGACTGAATTAGGACACAACATAACTAGACGGCCCACTTAAACTTATTTGAACAGCTATAACTTCCAATTCTATACTGGTCGCTTGACATAGCTTCAACAAATGATTAAACGAAAATCCAACACAAATTTTAATTTTGAAAAAAATTAGCTTGATCTTTTTAAATAAGACTTTTGTTAGAAACTTGATTACAAAAATACAAAGCAAAAAAAATACCAGAAAATCAGAAAAAAATTGTCTTTCACTGAATCCACTCGCTTGTTTTTATAAATGGCAAAGATACAAGTTTGGAAAACTGCTTTTCTACGCAAATTTTTAAAAATTTTGTAGATTTTTACGCGGTAGAATTTTGCAGTAAACTGACTTTTTTAGATCCTTCTTTTAATTTTTCAGACCAGTAACAAGATAATTTTAAAAAATTCAAAACGACTGGTAAAAACGCGAACGGCTTGGAAAGTAATGACCCTACACTAGAATTGAGTTCTAACAACTCTTAAAATTTATCTGAAAAATCAGGCTCAATTATAAAAATTAATTTAAACTGCGAAGCAACAGAGCAAAATAAGATTACCTTCGTGACCAATAACTCCGAAGTTAACTGGCTTTTCAACAGATGTTCGTGCCAAATGTCAAGAATCTAAAAGACGTAGCAAATCATAAATGATCCAAAAATCTATAAAAAACAGAAAGGATAACAAAAAACTAAGAAGTTTATGTCTTTCGACGTTACCTGACAACTACTGAATGCAAAAACTTGTAGAAAAAAAACTTAACAACTAACCTGGATTTCATACTCTTCCATAATCTTGCATAATGTGCTCCGACGTTCCGAGTCCTTTTTTAACATAAAAAACCTGTTCGAAACGCCACTTTCATCTGGGCATGTCCTAGCTATAGTACCCAGTTGAGACGGCAGAGGATGTAATCCGTTAGCACTACCGAAAGACGGACTTGGAGTCAACTGCGGCTGCGTATTATCATCTATAATTAACTCATAACGATTGCAAAGGTTAAACTTTTTTATAACGGGTAATCAAGAAAACAGCAAAACTAACCAATTATTGGAGAAGTCGGTTGACTGTACTGGGATGAGCAAACAGATGGAACAGTAGAGTAACTATCTGGAGAATACGAATTTGATCGATTAGGACCATCAATTAGAGATCTTAGATTCCTATTTAACTCCGCCTCCTTGACTACCTCAGAAAGCACATTATTTGAGCTACCAATATGTGATAAAGATCGTTGCATATCTAAAAAGTAATTAAAAATCAGATAAAAACAAAATTAATTATGCTTTCAGATAAATGACTCTAGGAAGTTATAGCCTGAGGCAAAAGCGACTTTCTACGCTAGAATAAAAACTTAGCATCTTCGTAGTTTAGACACCATTTGGCAGCAACAAGATTCATTCCTTGAAAAATATGCTCCCCTCAATACTGCACTACTTTGCAAAAAACGTTTATAATTTTTGTGCAGCCTCATCGTCATGTAAGCAACCTGTACGGAAAAAGTAGTACTTTGAAAAACGGCTTGAAAAATTCGACACATTTAGCAGTTTTTCTCTGTCTGCACTCTCCAACTATCCCAAAATTGTCACTGCATAAAGAATTATGCTGCATTTTAGCAAAAGTATCTTCTTTTTAGTAACCTACGCTGAACAGAACCTCTCATCTCTGTGTGAATGTCAAGATCACTTGTAGCGTGACTCACTTGTAAAAGTTTGAGAGTTTGTTACGGTCGTTTCAAGATTCGGATTCAACATTTTGAGAAAAGGAAAGTCAGCTAATATAGATCCACGTCTTCTTATTAGGCAGAAGCCATCTTTTACCTATCCTCAACCAACAATTTAAAAAATATTTCTTTTGTTCTCCTCCCAAAACGTTTACTGTCTTTCTTTCTGTACTCACTCATCAACAGAAAAGAATCAGAAAAAC